TTCCCCGCGATCTCTCTTTCGTGTTGCGCGTCTCTCTCGCCCACCCACCCCCACCCCCACCCTGCACCGCGCTCTTTTCCTCGATCTCCCTTCGTCCCCGAAACCTAAACCGCCACCGCGTAGTGGTACACCGACACAGATATAGAGTCAGCCGTACCGGCAGAGCTATCTGTTGTTATCACCAGTTATTTGCATCCCTTCTCGTAGTTGGTGGGGTGGCTGCTACTGCCTGCTGCGAGCAGGAGTATACGTTCGCACGGCGGAGAGGGAGTTGGAGGCAGGGGGCCGTAGAAAGGAAGGATGAGGGTTTGGGGGTGGTTGTAGAGGGGCCACAGGGAGACGGACACGGGGGGGTTGACGGTGGGGGAGGGGTCTTGAAATTCTCGGGAGCTTTACTTCCCGGGAATATTACACGCCCCGCCGTGAGCTCCCGCCGATTCGAGTGATTCCTCATCTCTCGCCCTTTTCCTAACCGTTCCGTTCTTTCGCCAAAGCAGATGCGCAACAACGCGGCTGTATTTTTTTATGCTCTTCTCCCCCGTTTGATGAATTTCGATTTGATGGAATGTCGGCCGTGTTTCGGATTTAACCGGCCGCTACCTCCGTTGTTCCACCACCGATATCGTCGATGCTCTTCTTACGTTCTCCCTTTGCCTCTGTCCCCTTCGTTCATTTTTTTTTCTTTCTTTTTTTTTTTTTTTTTTGGTTTCTTCTCCTTTCGCTCGTTCCTTCCTTTCTTTCTTCACATTGGTTTTGTATTTGAAGGACGAAGGCTGAAAAGGACTCGGCAATCTTTAAAGTTTCTTGTTTGACAATTAATTAGGACAGAATCATTTTGATCTCTATTTCATAACTCTTGGTTAAAACAGATTATCGATTGCAACGAAAGTGGCATTGAAATTGTAAATAATCGAAATTATTTAGTGAAACGAAATGAATACGATACTCCGTCATTTGCATGCGATGGGAATAGATAGCGTGCGAAAGTGAGAGTCGCGTCGAACGCGGTTAAATAACTAAATATTATATCATAATATTATACAGTTGATATTTTTAAGGTGGCGAGAAACAACTGATGAAATTTTCAAACTCCCAAGTTCTGCGTCGACGTGGCTGGCAATTATAATGTTCTGAATTTCATCAGTGAAATTTCATCCTCTGTCGAGGAGCCAAGAATTAAAAATTCACGGTCGAAATATCGATTGACGACGATGTGTCAGTTACCATTGAAAGACCCCCATGGCCAATCCTAACCAACGGATTAATTCACAGGCCACGTTCGTTATAAGATTACCAGTGCGTAAGTACCCCGTTGAAGAACCCTTAGACCCTGTCAGAAGGGGCGCGTTAACGTCGAAGCGGTCCCCTACCTACAAAGACAACATCATCGTCGCCCCGCTTGCTCCGGCTGCGATTTTCGCGTGTCAAGGAAGAAAGGCTCCGCGAGATTCGAATGTTTCCGCATTGTCGCCATGGGAAGCGTACGGAGTGTCTCGCAGTGACGACGATGGCTCCTCGTAGTCTGTGTGGAGAAGCATTTCGGTCGTGGCACATGGGAAGGAGAAAGCCATCTGACAGAAGAAACGAGTGAAGATGGGAAAAGAAGTCGAAGAAAGAAGGAAGAAAAAAAGAAAAAAAGAAGGGAAGGAGAAAGAAAAAAAAAAAAAAAGAGAAATACGTTGCATGAGAGTAGGTGTGCGAGAATGCGCGTAAGAGGGAAAGAGATGGTAGAAATGCTAAAGAACACCGACGAATCACCGGTGTTTAAAATTCCCGTGAGGCTTCGCGGTTTCGCGCTTCGCGAGAAGAGGTGGGAAACAGAGAAGAATGGGGTTGGTGGGGATCGAGGTTGAAGGGGTTGCTTGGAAAAGGAGGTGGAGGACCAAGAGGAAGCGAGGAGAAGGGGTTGAGCGTTCGGAGTCGACAGATTGCCGAGGGGACAAATAAGAGTGTATCCAGTCGCCAAACGCGACGAGGCGAATTTCGGGTAAATTGTTTCCCCCGGAGCCCTCCCTCTCGTTCCCTCTTTTCACCCTGCCTCTTCGGATTCTCTCGCCATCGCCCAGAGGAGATTCACTGGTGTCGTCGTGGAAGCGACGATTTAAATTTGGGGTACTTGCCCGCGAGGCGAAGCACCCTTCTGGACTTTGGGCTGCCCTTCACCTCTCTCTCTCTCTCTCTGTCTTTCTTTCTTTCTCTCTCTCTCTCTCTCTCTCTCTCTCTCTCTCTCTCTCTCTCTTAGTTGAAGATCATCGATTTGAAATCGTTATACTTTAATCCTACAGACGATTCTCTTCGAATCTTATTCCGTCAAGCCAAGCGTTGTTGAACATCAATGGCCTCGAATTAGGGGTGTATTATTTACGCTTTTTCAAAAGAAAATTCGTTCCGTTTAACGCGTTACAATAAGTGAGATTTGCTTGAGGAAAATTTGAATTCACGCGAGTCAATGTGAAGATAAGTTGAAACAGTCGTAAGAAGCAAGAGGGAGAGACGTTCGTCAATGAGATAGTACGTTCGCTCGAAGCACGGAAGGATTATCGCTATTTGGGAATTTCGAGCATCTGGTTGGAATCGTTGTACTTTAACCTGGTCCATTATATGGCTGAGTCTTATGGCATAAGTTGACTTTATTCTTCGCGGCATCGCAAAATCGAGCAACATTTGAAACTCTATGTTTTGTATCCCGTTGAAACAAATTGTACAATAAATATTTTACAAGAATTAGCACTTATTCAATTGGAATCAAATTAAGGATCATTCATAATGATTTTCCAAATAAACTTTATAACGTACCGTCATATTTTGGTAGAAAAATACGTGGCACACAAATATCGCGAAAATAATGTGAACAATGCAACCAACTTAATCTTTCCCTTTAAATACATCGAAGCAAAACCGGAAGCAAGCCTGGTTTAAGGCAGTGTGAGGAGTACTACGAGTGCTTTCGCACATTACCCCTTGCAACAGGCCAATTAGCACCGTTTCAGAGTCTGATGTGAACGGTCATTTAACTTCCACATGCAGCGGAATCTGTTACCAAAGACAATCCATACACCGTGCGAAAAGTCTCTGAGTTGAATAACAAATATTCAAACCGATCGTATACGGCCGATCAATTTTTTCCAACATTATTTAGTTTGCAATAACCTGAGACCTGTAAATAACGAAATGTCTACTCGTAAATGAAATTGAGCATACTGCGGAATGTCTATCTTCTATCTAACTATGCTGCATAATTTTCACAACAATGAATTTAAAAATACATTTCTAGATTCTTTTTGCTTCAAGTGATGACTTTGAACTGAATCAAGTGAATAAGCTCGACGCAAGAACTTTCCATACTTATATCCTCGTTATCGTTGAAACACGTTAACAACATATTAATATTCCGTAAGAGATTTTTGTTTGGAACGGCCAGCTCCTGGCTATTTTGTTTAACTTTTTCCACGATCGGTGGGTTGAAATAATGCGGAAATTAGGCACGCACTATGCGTACCTATGCAAGCGTGGATTGATCCCTGGTGCATTGAAAGCTGCATCGTACATCGTATACCGTCGTTCACGGCTTAACAAAACGGGCTCGTTGCGCTCGAGGTAGCAAGGGATCCCTCGAAATCCTTTAAATTCTGAATCGAAATCATCGCACGGATCCCATCGCCATTTATCTTATCACGCGGAATTCAGCTTGTCGAAGAAAATTCGTTCGCCCGTGGCTGCTATACATTTCCTGGCAAAATAGCTAGCTACCTTCCCTTTACATGTATTCTGTATACACAATAATTATTTCTACTAGAGCTGATGAAAAGCTTTCGTTAAAACGTATAATTCTTTCGTGTATTATTCCTTTAAACTCTTTGACTGAATAATTCTTCTCGTTTCTACATAAAATTCACGAAGAATTGTAGAAGATGGTAGAATTACTTAATAATTAAAAAGTTATTCGAAACTAAAACCTTATAGCGTTGCAATAATATAGAACGGCTACGAAAAGTATATCTTTAATTTTGCAATGAAATCACGCGGAAATAGACTATAATGGATTTATTAATTAATACGTAAATGATGGAATAAACAAATGATCGAAACAATCACCGAATAACGTGAAGTTCAAAGAAACGATTGAATTATTTGTATGGTCGTTGTTCCACCGCGTCCCGTCGTCTTCACCCTTGTGCCATTATCCGCGTAATTTCGGCAGGAACATCCACCTCAAGCGTCTCGTCTTAAGACAAACTAACAAAGGCAGGCACGTTTCAATTCCGCGGTGCATTTAAAGATCGATATCCCCAGTCGTATCGTTGAGCGGAGATTTCTCTCCGGTAGTGTAAACATATCCTCGATACGTCCGTGGAACGCAGCAAAGAGACGCGAAGAGACAGCCGGAGAGCAAGGGAGGGTGAGGAGGAGCTACCGGGTACGGGAGAGAAAGATTCTCTTTTGCCTATATCTGTTTTCCACTTTTTTCATCCCCCCGGTAGCAGGGCTACGCTTGTATTTCTCTCTCTGGTTCCTCTCTCCCTCTCCCTCTCTCTCTCTCTCTCTCTCTATTTCTCTCTCATCTTTTTGCTCCCTCTTTCTTTAATGCCGCCCTCTTGCTCTCTTTCTCTCCGTTCCTTTTTCCTTGCTCTGCCCTTCGTCCTTGTCGGTCGCCCGCGCACGGCCCTCCCGTCCCTTTCTTTTCCATCCTCGCCTCAAAATGTGGCATTCAACAGGGCTTCTACGGTGCTTGCGGTGGTGCGGAATCCGCGCCGGTTTGCCGCGACGCGGGGTGCATCGGGGAAATGATGCGCAGATTGGCCGGATCATCTCAAAAACCACCACCCTCTGCCTCCAGCCCTCCTCCCACTGCCTGCTCGTCCCCTCTGATTTCTCTTTCACCCTCTTTCTCGCACTCGGCATCACGTGCCTCGTTTCGCTCGCTCGCCCCCGTATCGCTGGCCCCTTGTTCCATCTCTGTCGTTCTTGCTCGTGCTCGTGCTATCGTCGCCGACGGTCGCCAGGGATGGAATACAACCCCCACTTTCGGCACCGCCGCCGAACAACCACCCTGCCACCGCTGCCTGCCACCGTGCCCGACGACGAGTGACTGAGTCCTCCGATTATTATCTCATTTGCTGGCACGAGCAGCACGCGACGCTACTGCCGCTTTCCCGCACGATCCCGTAGATCGCTCGCCTCTGGATCACCGCCTGAGGAGGAACCGCAACTCCGGGACCACGCTACCTGTCGCCGCGTGTACAGGTGAGTCGAGCGAGTCTCAACTTTCACCGATTCTTCTTCTCCGTCCCCGTTGCAATCGCCGATCCGTGAATTTCCTTTTATATTCGTCGTGGATTCGTCTTTTTTATTTTCAATGTTTTCTTTCGCTTCTTTGGCACTTCTCTCTTCTCCTTTGCCTTTTCACTCTCTTCGTCTCTTCTCTCCTTGTGCCTTTGAAATTGTGCAAAACTAACAGTCAACATGTTAACGTAACACGCATGAGACATTGTGTTCTCGGGGAACGAGGGTGTCGGTTGGACATTTCGCCAGTGTTCACGATTTCGGGATGATCGTCGGTTTTGGAAGTTTATCCGTGATCTTGCGGAGGAAGGTACACGTGGGAGAATTTGATTTGTCGCGTAACGATGACGGTTGTGGATTTTCGTGGTAAACTGTAGTGAGAAGAAGTTGATTCATCGATAAATTGCGAAACCATTGATCTTACTTATGCTGAAGATTGCTCCTGTGAAGTGTAAATAAATTGTCGGGTAAGTTTTTCTCGTTTTCGGTCATTATTTCCAACGAAATAAGAATTAAAAAGTCAAATGTATGATTTACGATCGTGAGCACAATGATTTATTCCACATGTCATGGCTGGATGATAAAGTAAATAGAAAAGAACGATGGTGGATATAGAGGATCAATTGGAAATTAGCATGTTACGCGAGAATGCTACGAGTATCATGTGTCCAGTAATAATTCAACTCTCAATCCTAGATCAGCACCTATATCTTCCTTTGTACTGCTTTCCTCAATGTGATAATATTGATTATACATAATGAGTCTATCATATTTTTGTTTAATCAAATAAAAAATTATGAAAATCAGTTTGCAAATTCACATTCATAATAAGAACAAAGAAGTCATGCTTATTTATAAATAATTTACTCGCCATTGACTCATGTCGATATTTATTAGTCACGTCGATCGCCGATATCAATTATCAAGAAATTGTAATTTTTATATAATTTTCTCTGTCTGTATAATTGTCTTTTAAATATGCTTCGTTTCTTAAAGACGCGTATAATTTAATTACTTCGAGCATTCATTGCATTCGTTCCGATATGTTCTATCTCCGCGTGTGCAAAGTCTCACTCGTAGGTTCGAGAATTAAAATTCTAAACTGAGTGCTGCAATTTACCATTCAAATATGCCGAATAACATCAATTCTAAACCAAGTAAAGACTGAAAATTCAAAAGGCAGGCAGAATATCAAAGGATTCAATACGAATGTCCCATCTATCTTCCCCGACGAACAATTTCTCACCAGAGGAATCTCGACTGGCATCTCATCGAACCAATTAATCCTCCCTTTCTTCCATAATCTTTCGCGGTTATCGATTGTACCGCAATTTGTGCACCCTCGAAAGCATTCAAATCCCCTGGCCGTTCCTTTAGACCACGATACGCCATCGCGACTAATCTTCAGCGCTAACGAAAGAGTTAGTATCGGTGGGGCCTGCTTTATTTATCGTATCGGTGGTTCTCTCCGTTTTTCGTCTTTCGTTCCGTGCACGTTTCTTTTTTGTTCTTTTCTTTTTCTCTCTCTTTTTTTTACGAGCCCATGCACAGAGCACACACAGAGACGAAGAGAGGACCGTTCGAATTACGCAGAGAGTTCAACCGTGAAAAAAGCCGAGTTCTGTCGCGACTGACATTCTTTTCTTTTTTTTTTCTTTCTTTTCTCCCCGTGCAAGTGAAATCGTTTCGCGTCTGATCGCAATAAAAATGTTTATGCTGATCGTCGTAAAGGGGCCGTCGTTGCACGAAGGTAGAACGAAGACGTGAAAGTCGACGGAGTAAAACTGAATCGGTCGAAATACCCGTCACGAATAATTCGCTTCTCGCTTCGTAATTGACAGTGTCTCTTTCGACTCGTCGTACTCGCGGTTTTCTCGTGTACGGACGCGACCTTTTATTGCTCTCATTGTCCATTATCGCACATGGATCTCTTATCTAGGATTTTTCTACTTAATCACGCGAACAGAGTCGGAGACACGCTGAGCGAAGCTAATCGACTGTAAATGAAAACGATACATTAATTGCGGCAGATGCATTGGTAACGATTCGAGTGATTCGAATTGCTTGTAATTAGGTGGAATTTAGTACTAGATGCTTGCGGTGTCGAATGTATTACGTGGGTCGTGGTATATCGAGGGAAACGAAGACATACGAAAGAAATGTTCCGTGAAATTTCGAATTATTTTTCAACTATTCATAAAACGTGGTTAAAACAATATTGCACAAAATTATTGGCGAAACTCATGCAAGAACGTGGACAGGAAAGTAACGTACGAAGATGAAATAAAAAAGAAATAAGAACGGAGAAAAATCATACTAAACACGAAGAACGTAATGAAACTAAAGAAAAGAAAAGGAAAAAAATTTTTTGAAACAAATGCGAAACAGAGAGAGACGAGGATGAAGAAATAGAAACGACCAAATCACCCTTTCGTGTGAAGACGAATGACAGACAAAGGAGCAATATGCGATAGAATAGATGCGAAAAAAATAGATGCGAAACAGGACAGAGAAAGGAGCAATATGCGATAGAATAGACGCGATAAGAAATAGATGCGAAAAAAGAAACGACCAAATCACCCTTTCGTGTGAAGACGAATGACAGACAAAGGAGCAATATGCGATGCACGATAGAAAGGGGTAGAACGAGGCAGAGAAAGGTGGGGGGAGTAAGGCCGAAGATATACAAGCTGAGGCAAAGTACATAAGGAAGAAAGAAAACGAGAAATTAAGATGTGGCGTGGGGTGGGTTGGGAGTTGAAAGGGAAATCGTTGCGCGTGGAAAGGGTAGAAGGGAATGAATTAGGAGAAGAGAGGAGCCGCACGTCGGCGAACAGTTGCGGGGAAAGAGATGAAAGAGATAGAAACGGAGGGATGGGTAGGGCGAAACGAGAGGAGCAGCAATGCAAATATTCGCGGCGACAGAGATTGAAACAATCCGCCAATTAGAATCGTCGACGTGAACGGGATTATGCAGATTCGCGGTGGGTGCGCGGACAGAGCCAGGAACGGACTGGCAGCTGCCGCACCGCTCGCTTAATTCAATCCACCGAGTTGTCTTATGAATCGTAAACCGGCCTTCCCCAGCCGCGTGAAACTGAAACTACGTCGCGAGGAAGACGGCAAGGATAAACGTCGGATGCCGCCGTCGTCATCGCGGAGCGACGCTTCGACATCCGCAAACGATTCGCCTCGGATGGAATGATAATGCAGCCTCGTAAAGTTCGAGGGGTTAGGGCGGGCGCGACTCATTGCTTTGCCTGCAGAGAAGTTCCAAGGAGAACAAAAATTTGGCTAAAATATAGTCCGAAGACGGAGATTAAAAAGTATATTCTGAAGAATAGTTGGAGATTTTCTATCTTTTTTGGTACTCGTTGCTTCGTCATCATCTTGCAGAGAGATTGCTAGAAAGAAGAATTTGGTTGAAATATACTCCGAGGATTGAAATACATATTATTTTATGTGTTTCGAAACTAGTTTAGGAGACTTTTAATCTTATACTTTTTTCTATATAAAATTTTTCCAATCAGAAGATCGAGAAATCAGCGTTTATAAAGGAAAAGCGTTGTTTAGAAGATGGTTGAGATTTTATATCTTGTTTGTGCTTTATAGAATGTTTCACGATGAGAAATAATCGCTAACAGGGTCAAGGTAGAAAAGATATTAAATACATTGACCTTTGATTATTGCCCCGTGTTTCGCTGGTGATGGCTGTATTTCGAAATACATTAAAATGCTTATTAATCATTAGGTTCGTGTCACACTGCTGCTTATATATCGGCGAAATATCTGATTGAAGAAAGCGCATTTTCAAAATAATTGTACACGTATTCTCTAATTGCAAAGAATTATACAACAGTATCATTTGTTATAGAAGCGATGTAGAAGATGAAAGTCGGAGGTTGACTACAGGGTGATAGAGGGGAGAATGTATAGAGGGGAATGTATATTGCAATTTTTAAAGGACACTTAAATAGAATATTACGAGGGTTGCCGGTGAAAATGTGTTACCATTGACTTTTAGGAGCGAGAGAGCCCGGCAGGGAATAAATTGTTTCGTGCCAGAGAATCTCAAGTAAATACTCGCGGTGGAGACTTTCCGCGGAGGCTTTCTTTATATTGCGCCCGGTAATAGAATAAAGAACGCAACCACGCAATGGAAATTCTCACTTTTTGCATAATTGACGTATCCTCAGGAGCACGTTGGATTATTTTATCTCGTGGATAATGTGATTTAAATACGAGGGACCGAGAGAAGATGCTGTAGCTGTTTCCATAAAGTATAGGGGGATGTAAATTTTGCTGCAGTTCCTTCGCTTCTTTCTCCGTGTGAATTTTTACAACGTTATGGAAGGATGAGAGAGAGAGAGAAAAAAAAAAGGAGAGGAAAGAAAGAAAAAGCGAGAGAATGAGAGGAGGAGATAAAAGAGCGGACCGAGGGGGGGAAAAAGAGGGAGGGATTGTGTAAAGTGGCTACAACGCGATCTCGCGATTAATGTTCTAGAAATGTAAGATCTCTTGCGCGCTCGATGTAATTCAAGCTTGGTTAAAACAGCGCGACCGGTGAATTTCATGACGCGGCTTTAAAATTTCCTGTTTAAGAAGACCACGGTGTAAGCAATGGAAACGCGTCGCTATTGTCTTTCAGCGCAGCCATCGCCGAGGGGAAAAAAAAAAATCGTTTCACGTCTCCGGGGATTCTTCAGGAGCTCCGCGTACCCGCGAGCTTCTCGTTTCGCATTATCTTCTCTCCGCGCAATCTCTGTCGACGTTTTGTCATTCAAATGATCAAGTAAATAAAAGATCAATCGCAATATGAGATTTTTCTTTACAAAGAAGATAGCAATGTTAATCTTGTTGTATAAAGAACAAGTGGAAAACTTTATGTAACAATTTGGTTTCCCTCCAATATTTCTGCTTGTCAAGATTTTGCAGAAAGATTTTCATCGTTCGTTAAATTCGCGCAGAAATTTTTCTTTTTTTTTTTGTCTTTTTTTTTTCTATCACCAATCAAAATGTTCTTCTCAACGTTCGATTCAGAAGTGTTTCATCATAAATCGTTTCTTCATTCTCTCTGTCGCATAGTTCTGCTCTCGAGCATCAGAAAAGGATTCCCACTGTCTGCTAAATTCGCGCAAAATTTTTTTTCTCAATAATCAAAAAACTCCTCGGTGCATACACTCTCTTCTCCATCAACGGATTTCTATTACTTATTCCTCTTCGTTTCGTGAGGAACGCGCGAATAATAATATTCAGTAAAATACGCGAGAAAAAAGCGTAACCGTTCGTACCATTTCACCCTCGCTTCTGACAGGAATCAAAAGATTTTCACCGTTCGATGTTCAGCGGCGATAGAGACGGCGCGGGAATTATGAGCGCGCTGTAATGAGAACCGACGACGAGAGCCTGTATTTATCACGAAGAGTAAAACTGACAGCAGTCCATTTCCTGTTCGTCCTGCCTGTCTGGCTGAACATATCTCCTGACGAAACAACGTGGACGCCGTTTGTTTGGGAAACAATGGACCGAAACAATACCCAATCCCTCCTCGGTGCGCGGACATGGATACAGACCACCATTCTGCTTTCCACGCCCCGTTACACTCTTCTCTCTTTCCATCGACGAAAGAATATCGCCAGGGACCTGCCAAGACTTCGCCGATTCTACGCGAATCGACAGCAAAGATCTTTCCTCTCGCTCGTATTAACGGTTGTCTGCTTCGTTCCTGGTTTATTCCCGACACCCGAAACGTTTTGCAAAAAGTCACCCTACGATTCCTCCGTGTCGCGATGAAAAAGTTTTTTTTTTTTCGTTTCTCAGCGACTCGAGAATACCAAGCCATGGGAGAGAATGTTTCTCGAATCTGCCCCTTTCTTTTCCAGAAATTGCTTACCAATATATCCCGTTTTTGCGAGTGAAAAACGCGTAACGAGGAAAACACACTCTGCACGTTTTTGCGTTTGTGACGTGGTACTGTACGCACGGAATGTTTCGGAGAATCTGGACGACAGAGAAGATGCTTTTTGATTAAAAGGCGACTATATTCCGATTTACTTTTACTACAGAAGATTGAAAGTATTGGTTTCGAAAGTCTATTGATCAGCAATCTGTTACACAGTTTTAAAAATGAAATTGAATAGAGAAAGATAAACAAGGTGAACGAAATGAATGAAAGAAAAATGAACAATTGCTTACGATATTTTTAAAATAATTGACAGCAATAATTAGCATTGGAATTTAAGCGTAAAGATAAAGTAATATA